AAAAAAAAAAATCCTTGCATTGAAATAGGAAAAAAATTAAAAATAAAATTAGGAATAAAATGAAATGAAATAAAGTAAAATGGAGGATTAGTTTTAGGTTCCAGACATAGGCAAGGGAAGTATCTCCTGTAAGAACATTTATGGTGAAAAAGACATGTGGTCATGCATGTTAAGGAATCAGTTATGATGTAGGTAGAATTAGAATATATGTACTCAGAATAAGTTATGACTGTCATTAAAATTATGTGTTCACATTTTTTTTTAATGACAGGAATAATAAGGAAAAGACACACTCAGTTTTAAATATAGTTGGCTCCGAAAAATCCCCCTCATCCTTCTCTTACCCCTTTCAAGCCAGGTAAGAGAGGTACCTGGCATGATTTGCCCATTTTTTCAAATGAAGATGGAAGGAGCATGGAGGGAGTTCCCAGCCATGATTGCCCTGGGGTGCCCTGTGCCCCTCCCCACCCACCAGAACAGAGGCTGGAAGGTAAATCCTCTGAGGATAGAGGCTTCGTCCCTGTTCTTAACTATGACCTGTGCCTGCAAAGATGCCTGGCCCTTGGAGCATGCCGTCATCCTGAGAAGAAGGAGGAATGCACAGAAGAACGTGTCATATCTGGGACAGGTGCAGGGCCCAGCAATCTGGGCCTGACAGGACCAGGACAGTGCAGGACCTGCCTGGAGAGTAGACAGGGACTTCCAGGCTGTATGGGGAGGCCTGGCCTTCCCCCTACTCTGCCCTTTTCTAGCCTAGTTATCAAACCAGACCATCCCAGGGTCACTGGAGCCAATTACTTGGCCCCCAAAGCAGTCTCAGCCCCACCTCAGTCTCCCCAGCTTTCGACGGGGAATACCCGTGTCTCACGGTAGATGAGAACATTTAGGGGTGACATCAAACTGAAAGGTGTTCAGTCAGCTCCTCTGCTTGCCTTCCAGCCCGTCTTCCTTCCTCCATCTTCTAGAAGAGTAAAGACCAGACGGGAGCTGCTGCCCACCTGGTCTATCTTGTCTATCTACCTGGTCAAGTGGTCCATGCCGCTACCTGACACTGGCCCATGCTGACTCTGCTCCCATGTCTGGACCAAGCTGGACCGCGCCAGGCCGGGACCCAGAGAGGAAGCCATTCAAGGGGAGAGAGGCCAGGCTGCAGGCAGGGTGGGGAAGGAGCTCATAAATCAGATCCCACTCCCACCCAGTCACTAACAAGCGGGCTGCCTACCCGCTTACGTGGGGTCCCTGCCTCTGGGCTCCCACAGCGGCCTGGAACGGCCAGCTGGCCAAGGCCTCTAGAGTACCTTGGCCTCCACCCCCACCCGCGGCCCCCAGATAGATAGGGGTATTTTTTTTTTCTTTTAGGAGAAGAGAAAAAAATAGACCTAAATGAAGAGAAACACCAACAAAGGAGGAGAGAGGAGGCCTGCAGAGTCACGTGGGGGCAGAGACCAATTGGGCCTCTGGTGGCCCCCCCCAGGGCGGGGAGGAGGAGGAGGACGAACGGACAGGGCCAGCTTGCCGACCGCCCGCCGCCCGCAGTGGTGTGAAGGAGTTCCTGCGTGCCCACCGTCAACACTGCCTCACCTGGGCTTCCAGAGCCTCCCCCTGACCCTGGTGCCCACTGTCCACCCTCATCCGGCTTGAGAACTCTTCTTCCGCTCCGTAAGTGAGGGCCTGGGCCCAGGCCTCTAATGGCCAGCCTCCCTCCTCAGTGCCTCCCTGTGGCCCAGGCCGGCCACAACTTGCTCTGTGGAGTGACCAGTGCTCACTTCTCTGGGTGGGGAAGGGGCTAGAGGTCTCTCTAGACCTCCCCCCCTCAGTAAGATACCCTCTCTTCTTCCCTGGGCCGCTGATGGGAGGAGCCAGGCCTATGGCGACAAGCGCTGTGGGGTCTGTGGGTGTCCCGCTATCTAGTGTTGACCGGGTGTTCACATCGGTGTGTTGGTGGGAGCCTAGCAGTCTGAGGGTCTTGTGAGGTCTCTGGGCCTGTCTTGGGTCTCTGGGTCTCCTGTCTGGGTGTCTGTATGGTCTCTATGGAGGTCTCTGAGCCTCTGTGTATGTGTGAGTCTGTCTCCAGTGTTTGTCAGTCCAGGTTCTGCGGCTGGCACAGGGTCTATTTTGCTTTCCTGGGTAGGTGGGTAACAGGCTGTGAGTTCCTACATGGGGCAGGGGCAGGGTGGGTGCAGTGAGCCACCAGCTCCCAGCCTGAGGTAGTAGAGCCCAGGGGGAGGGGGGCTAAGATGGAGGCAGAAGGGGAGAGCTGGCTCAGAGCCCAGCCTCCCACCCCACCAGCCCCCAGCCCAGACTGCGCTATGCTGCTGGGCCTTCCTCAGCAGCCCAGGTGGGCTCTACCCGACAGAAGCCCACTACCCCTGAGGAGCCCATCCCCCACTCCCCTCCACTCCCTGCAGCCTGGTGGGTGCTGCCGAGTTCCACTGCCAGAGGGCAGAGGGCTTCTCTCTGAGTGGAGGTTGTTCAGAGGCAGAAAAGCCCCCCTAAACCCCCACCTCTGGCCTCTAGGCCCGACACAGACTGCAGTTTCTCAGGGGCTCAAGGTGGGGATCTACCACTAACTCCTCTCTGGCTCTCTCTCCTCCCTCCGCACCAAGATTGTCCATGGAATCTGATGGAAACTACAGCACTCCATCTGGAGGGCCGGGCTTTCCTTATTACATACGGAGAAACTGAGGCTCAGATGAATGAAGTGACTTGCTGGCAAGCCGACCGCAGACTCTGCTCCTCACTCTGCGGGGTGAGCAAGGCGAGGGGTGGTCTGCATGGGCTTCAGGCCTAGGCTCTCAGGACCATGGTGCCAGCTCCTGCAGGAACCTGAGGCCGCTGTAGTGGCCCTGAAACTTTTTGGCCGGTAGCATCTCTGCCAATGCAATTTTCGGTCTTCCTCGCTTGAAGCTGCAGCTTTCTGGCCTCAGGGTCCCCAGCCTCAGACCCCAGGTGCCAGAGGGGCCAGGGGCAGGCTTCGTGCAGGCCTCTTTCTCCCTCCTGCTTCAGTTTCTTCACCTGATAACGGGAGCGGCCCCGTGGAGTTCCCCAACCCTGAGCAATTGATCTGCCCATCCCGGCCAGGGCTTCCTTTGTCCCCCAGGCTTCCACCAGCTCTCTTCCTCTGCCCTCTGCCTGGGCTAGAGCTCCAATGGGTGTGGGGGTGCCTGTCGCCCACCTCCAGCTCCGCTTTCCTAGCCCCCGCGCCCTTGGAGGCTCTGAGTGCTCACCAGACCTTGGAATCTCGCAGAAGTGCATTCCCAAGATTCCCATTTCCTGCAGGCAAACTGAGGTTCACAGAGAAGGGGATTGCCCCAGGTCTCCCGCTGGGCGTTGTAGAGACACCGCCATGCCGGGCTTGTGCTTCGCCAGCTGCATTTCGGTTCATCCTTACAACCACCCTCCAGAAAGACCCGTCATCATCCCACTTCACAGATGAGGAAACTGAGGACTGAAGAAGGTTACTTACCGCCCAAGTGAGGAAATGTGGCAGGGCAAACACCAGAAGGTTTCTAGCCTTGAACTAATGCCTTGGCCACAGGCCCCCACGCTCGCCCTTACCCACTTCCAAGCTGCAGAACCACCAGCGTCCCCAGCTTGGCCCTGGCCACGACTAAGCTGGACTTGCAAACAGGAGCTCGCCTCCTCCCACCGCCAGAGGCACCTCGGCGCTCGACACCTGTCTGGATTCTGGGGCGCTGGGACTCCGCCGTTCTCTCGTAGCTCGCGAGCTTCTGGGGGCCTGGCTGGGGATGGGGGGCCCGAGAGGATGAGGGTGAAGCCACGAGCAAGCTGGAGGGAGGGCAGGGCGCAGGCCGGGCTGAGGGGAGGACGCGCGCCGGGCC